TATATATATATATATAATATCAAAATCTGTTGTTCTGCTCAGCCTTTTTCTGTAGTACAAGTTTGAATAGCATGATCATATATTTTATGCTTATCTAATATAATTTCACACATGGTCTTAATTGTTACTAGCAGGCGTTTTCCTTTTCCACAATGTTTTCAGTTGCAATGATACCTTTGTTGAATCTACTTTAATCGATGGCAGAATACAGTGCTCAGCTTCTTTTCTACATTCATTGTCTCTGCATATTGTCTTCAAGCTGGGCTGTAGCATTGCTTACAGTATCTAGCTCAGTATAAAATGACTTTACCCAGATAAGTGTTTTTCAAATGAATAGAATATTTGTGTCACTAATCTGCCCATCACTACAGGAATAATTTACTGGTATGAGTTGCCAGATATAACACTCCATGTTGTCATGTATTGTAGTAGCAGTTCACAGCCATAGGAACTATGCAACGAATCTAAAGTATGTGTTTTCCAACAAGTAAAGATAAAATATTTATCTGGTGGATGCCTCCGTGATAAGGAGCTGCATAGCCCATTGCTGTTATTTTACCACATTCATTCATTGAAGTTGAAATACTTTCATATGCATTTTGCCCCAGTCTGGTTTCTAGAAAGCTTTTTTGAAAAAATATTGTTGCTATGTTTCAGTTTGTGTGACTAGAAAGACATGTAGTTATTATAGCCACGCCAGTCAAAGGCTTCATCCACAGCAGCCCCTTTCTGTTAAAGGTTAAGATGTCTATAGTCAACCGTCCCTTTGGAATTTATCAGAAGAGTTATAATATTTGAACAAAACTCACTGTGTTGCATTGATGTACAGATCCCATTACCCTGAAACACAAACATCTACTGCCTTCCTGAATAGGAATGGCAATGGGTACCCTCTAAACAGATGGCATGCAAACACAGTGTGTGACAGCATTGTGCATTACTGCTCCTATCCTTTCAAAGCTGAATTCCAGACCAATATACAAGATACAAATGAATGCAGCTCTGTATTTATGAATGCATACTTAAATGTAATGTTTAAAAAAAGAACAGTGTAAGAACCTGAATTTGACCTGATATTAGCCTCTTGCAATCCCCTTTACAACAGAGCTCAGACTTGGGAAGCAGGACAAGGAGCCAAACAGTTGTGCTTTAGTGACAACAAGGGCCATGCTGATAAGAGAGAAATTAAGATAGAGAGATGAGCTTATGTGTCCAGCCCGCTCATCACAGGCTGGAGGAAGGACAAAACCAGTAACTGTTGCTTAGCTGCAGCAGAGAAACATTAGGGGGTTATTCACTAATTCGCTATTCCGTACAGCAGCCGGGGAGCTCAACCGAGCCGAACGCATATGCTTTGGCTCGGCTGAGCAGTAGTGACACCTGAAGCCTCTTGAACGGCCAGCCGAAGGGCCAGCTGATGCTGAGGCGCTCCGTCCATGACAGGTTACACAGCGGGGAGGCTGTGTAACCTGTTAGATGCCGATCTGAATGGAGAAAAAGCTGTCAGCTTCAGACATGAAGCTGACAGCTTTTTCCTCCATAATTCTCAGAGCCTCACCTGCCACAGGAGACCGTGTACCCGACTTGTCAGCTGGCTGCGGGCCACTTAGTACCAGCTCGTAGGCCGGAGTTGGACCGCGGGCCTGTACTTTGAGACCGCTGCTTTATATTGTAACTCCAAGTCCCCTGCTTACAGGATTGTGTTGTAAATCCAACCTGAGTACAGAACAGTTCTCAAGAACTTAAAATCAGATAATAGCCGACAGTCCCCTTAGAATTGTAAGCCAGTGGCAAAAGTAAAACAGGTTAGGTTCCACGCTGGCCAAATAAATTAGTGTTTATGACAGGAACAAAGTTCAGTAACAAAACATAGTACTAAGAGGTCTATTTATAAATGTTTTCACACAAGATTTACACAACTGTCACCCAAGATTAATACATTTTTCAATTAAATCCAATTTGAAAATATGGAAAACGTAGGTGAAAGTTCTGTAAATCTAGTGTGATAGCCCTCAAAGGGAGCTCACCCAACAACAGCATTGAGTGTACCACATTATGCTGCTCATACGTCAATAAACGTCTATATATTTCGTTTGCTATAGCTCACCCAACAAGACACAAATTGAGTCACTCTGTGACAATAGAATGTACAGTAAGGGTAATATAGACCTGTTGTTTCAGCCTATTCTGTAGCAGATTGGCCACTGTACAGCTGTTCACATGTGTATGCATAGTCTAGATGACTACTAGGTGCATGCCCCTAAAAGCAAATGAGAAAGGAAAACCAGACACACAGGTAAGTACCATATGGTGCTTCTCATTTGGAAACAAGAGGTGGCATTGCTTAGTAGCATGGATTGCAGTTCCTAAAATGGCTTACCAAATGTTAATCTGACAGCAAACTAGTCCATGTAATTCAATGTGTAAAATAAACTTTATTTATTTAAAGTTTAAATAAATGTACTCAGCCCTTTACATACTATTCATTCACATCAATCCCTGCTTTTGTTGAGTTTACAATCTAAGGTCCCTATCTTGCATGTACCAGGGCCAATTTAAGACAGGAGCCAATTAACCTACCAACAGGTCTTTAGAGCATGGGAGGAAACTGGAGTAATGGGAGTACTTTTTCAGCTGAAATTCAGCTGAGGTTGCAGAATGTTTTGCTTCAGCCCTCATTTCCAGACTATATACTACAGGGAACCCTCTAAGTTACCTTATATTCTGAAACAATGAAGTTAAGATGTCCCTGACATCATGGAATACAAGAACATCAATGAAAATAGTTCTCCAATTCCTATATTTTCACAGTCATGTCTGCAAGAGATAAACTCATAGAATTGCAGTATTTTTGTAGAGAATATTTTATCCCTGTTAGATTGGTTAAAATGTGCAAATGGGACACTCCTGCCTTTCATAATTGCCAATTGGTGGAAAGAGACATTCTTCACACGTGGAATTCTGCTACAATCAGACCCTTGAGATTACAAGTTACTACATTTATCTCTCAGAATCATATTATTCCAATTTTATGCAACCCAGTATGGTAGCTATTTGGCATTTTTGGAAATGCACAAAAAAAAGCATTTATATGCCTACTGATTTTCTATGCAAGGAAGACTATAGAACCGAACTGGAGGACAACTGAGGTCTTAGACATCCATTTGTGGAAACAACTAGTTAATAAAGTACTACTCTTTTACAGAATAACTTACGAGGCCAGAGCATGCCCCACTAAATGTGATCAAATATGGGGGTACTGGGTATCTTGTTCCAATTCCTGCAAACATCTGACCTCAGTCTGAAGCTCTTAATCACCTTATATAGACCTCCAGACACGATCACACTTCAATCTCCCTAACAAGTTTGCTTTTATGAAAAATACAACGCCAAAGGTTGCTGTAAATGTACCTTATTACAAAACTTCTTCTACAAGTTAACAGTTTGTGTGCCTCAATAGAACTATTGTCTTTATTTTGTAATTTATGATAAGATGTACAATTTGTTGTTACAAGCTCATCTCAGATAATTTTTATTGCATATTTTGACAATGCATAACATGTACATGTTTGTATGATTTGTCCAATAATTTTGATTATAAAAAAGTATCTTTTTTTACAAAGTTACAAAGTGGTAAGCACTTAACCTTACCATCGACTACAGTCTATATATAGCTGACTAGGTGCTGATGGCCTGAACCCCCATTTACAAGTTGAGCTGTAGCAGAACTGTTACCAGGGAAGTGTTTTGCAAATAAACAAACTATTTGTGGCACCAAACAGTGTCCCTGTCTTTTCTCACAGACCATTAGAAAGGTTTTCCAACAAGTCATTCTCCTGAGGGATCCATATTTGCGAAATATGTGGGAAATATGCTCTAGATTTATTGCGTAACATTATCAGTTTGGGATTGTCATACATGTGTACATGTGTATGTATGTATGTATGTATGTAGCAAGTGGCATTGCTGAATCATTTGGTCCTGATTAACATTTTTGTTTATATAAACATATTTATATGTTTATATGTATGTGCTTTTTGTTGTCATTTACCACGTTATATTATTTGTCTTCATGCCAGATCTCCCCAGCGCATTCTGTTAGACCTCCTGTGCTCAGAGAGGAGTTACGTGCAGTCTTTGCGCCGGTCTCTGGAGGTCAGGGGATCATGTCCGGCTGGCCTGGCACTCAGAGGTAGCCTGGAGCAACTCCTCAACTTCCACACTCACTTCTTGAGAGACCTCCAGAACTGTGTGTCTCACCCCTTCACTGTGTCATACTGCTTCCTGCAACATGTGAGTATGCTTTCTTGGATCCTAATCTATCTGCCCCACAGCTGTGCTTCTACATTCCACAATTTGTCTGAAGTAATTCGTATGTGATAACAGCAATCTACTTAATGTAGCAACGTAACACATGTTACCATTTCCAGTAGTCTGACTATATCTGTTTTTTTACCATCAGTGATAGCCACATGTGTTGTCTCATGTTTTTCAGGCTGACCAGTTACGCTTATACTCCCTGTATGTGAAGAACAGACAGAAGGTTGAGCTGTTCCTTCCATCCCCCAGTGGCAGTTTAAAGGTGAGTCATGGGGAAACTTTCTAAAGGGTCAGGATTAGGTCCTTTTTGTGGTTTTTCTGTATGTGCTGGAAGTGAATTGATGTCCTTGTTTAAAGGAAAAGCCCTGAGCTTTATTTATACAGAACCAAGAAACGGATAAACAACCATCTCTTTAAATATCTAAAACCGACCACACTTCAGAAAATTTGTTTGCTGTTATTAATGTATGTAGGTGGATTGGATCTTATCTTTTTTATTTCTCATAGTGCTTGCAAATTCCTTAGCACCGGATTAAATAGACAATCCATAAGTGACTGCTCCGAAAGCAGCATACAATCTAAAATCCCAACCGAAGGGTACATACTCTCTGTAAACCTGCATTATACTTTTGTGTAAAGTTTCCAGTAAACCTGCACAAACATGGGATCTGTAACATTTGGATTCTTACCAAAGGCCTGGTATTGTACAAAGTCCACACAGACCAATCACCTAAAGGCAAGAGGAAGTAACCATAGCATGCAAGAGTTTCAACACTCCTTAAAGGGTCAGATGCTGATGCTAGCATTGCTTGTAAACACAGCAGAGGTGGGAGGCAAGAAGCAAAAGTAATGAACCCTTTTCTTTGCAGACATGACTTTGGTTTCAGTATTTTTAAAATAGTCACTTCACATGAGTATGATTACTTTGCATATGTAGCCTGAAGCTTTTGGCTCATACATGTAGTGTGTAGGTATGCTCCATCCTATATTATTTTTCAGCTTTATATACCTTAAGAGCCTATTTATGTTCTACTCTCTGCACAGCACAATACATTGCTAGAAATAGTACACACTGTGCCTGCATTTTACAGTACTCATAAAATGGATATGTAGACAGCAGTTTCCTAGGAGAGCTTTATCAATGTGACACTAGAGGTTTTATTAGAACAGCAGCAGTATGCCCCTGGTTAGGCCATAGCCCAGCACTTACTAAAAAAAAGTAATTTACAAGATTCCATCAGTTTTGGAAGATACACTTATTAATACACATATAAATAAAAAGGATATGTTACCCTTGGATAAAAAAATGGAAAACATATCTGGAATATGGATACATAATATATTTCTATTTCTCCTAAAGGGCAAGAAAAGGGACCAGAAGGAGGAGGAAGACTCTTGGGGTATTCTGCATAGACCACTGGAACAGTTGGATTTGTACCAGCGCTTTCTGGCAGACATGATGCTTGAATGTGACCAGGACAGCGAACAGGAGCGTCAATCTCTACATGCTGCTCGCGAACTTGTGGGCTCTCTGGTGCACCATGGGAAAAACCTGCTAGCTGCTGAAGCCATCCGGGGATTTGAGGTAAGGCTCTAGTTGAAGGCAGGGTTGCCTACTTTAAGTGTGCTTTTATAGACAACTATGCACAGAATTACACACGGTTGACCCGTCTTATACTAAGGGGCTTTGGGGAAATATTTGGGGTCCAAACAGACCCCTGATATTTCCCTTTTAAAATAGAAAAAGTGCCATTTTCTGCCGATATCTTTCGGCGGCCGATATATCGGGGCATCCCTAGTAACAACATTAGAATGCTTTAATTACTCTACATTACACCAGTGATAATGTAAAGTACTAGTAACTGCTGTGTGGCAGGAACTCAGACAGGTTTGCAAAAGGATGTCACTAGCACACCATTTTAAGTGAAATCAACAAAGTCCATTTATTAATGGAATAATGTCAGTACTGGAATGACAGTACTCCATTAATAAATGGACTTTTGTTGATTTCATTTAAAATGGTGTGCTGGTGACATCCTTTTGCAAACTTGTATATCTTCACGGCGCCATCCATGGTCACTACGAGCACCCACCAGGGTTTCAAGGAACATCCTATACCGGTAAGGAGTGCAGCAAGACATCTATATATTAGGAACTCAGACAGGTATCTCAATATACAGAGAGCTATTTTTTGAATGGAACCAGTATATTTGGCTGGTGCTCAAATATAAGAAAGTAATCACCAAAATGTAAACGCTTCCCACTGGTCATTCAAGAGTCTGTAAAGGGTAAGGACACAAACAAGCGTACATTTCTATTTTTCTTATACGTCTGGTCATTTTCTTGTTGTGTCATGGGATTTTTGTGGAAGCTGAGTGGGCTTTTCTAACATCTTGTTATTTAGGTGGATGAGAAGGAACATGGTCGCCTTTTGCTGAAGGATGTGTTCACAGTACTATCTGGAAGAAAGAAATCTTTGCGACATGTATTTCTGTTCCAAAAACTGCTTCTGCTAAGCAAACTGAAGACAGCAGAGGGAGGTCTGGAGACATACGGCTTTAAACAGGCTTTTAAAGTAAGAAACCAGACATAACAGAGCAGCATATGCACAGTATGCAATGATTAGATGGTGACATGACCACATTTAGCCCCTTCAGTCCCCCCACTGTAAATTAACATCTTTTAAGGTAAGTTCCTGTGGCAGAAAGGTTGTTATTGAAGTCTGTTTTATTCCAAAGCTCCACAGCTCTGCTCTCCAAGGATGAGCTGCAAAATGATTCTGTGGGACCCACACACTTGATGTTGGTAACTCTTCTGAGTGATTAGCAATCAACCTTTCTGCTTAACTTACCCTTTCACTGCCACCACTATAATTGTGTTATGACAGGGCTAAAAACAAACACTTTGGGGTCTGTTTATAAATGTTATTATCACCCAAGATTCACACATTTCACGCAGAGCTAACACTTTTTTTTACATTTCAGTGGCAAAGTATGCCACCCTCTGAAAAGTGTATCCTCCTCCAAAAGGTCATGGGCACACAGAAGAGCAAGATGAGCCTAGGACCTTTGGGGTAGCATAGGCTATTCAGAGCTGTCAAAAAATCCCAGCCATGGTGGCCTGGTAAGCCTCTGGTCCCAAACTGCAGGGGCTACATGCAGAGGAGGCATCAGGGGTTTATTAGACACCTTATATCTACATAAAGTTGGTTTGTCAGCCCCCATGTAAAAATATGTGAAACCCACGACATGCACACATACATGCGCATAAACACAAATGTACATAAACGCCTATTATGTATTAAATATTCCTGTGCACACCAGAATAATTTTAGGGCTGCCATTTTAGTTTAATTCCAAATTGATTAGCTATAACGATTTGCCTATTTAAAGTTTTAAGTAACTATTTGCATTTTTCACTGTTTCACAAGTACACACAGTTTTGATCTTCGGCTGGGTTCACACCTGGGCGTTCCTAATAGGCGCGTTTTATCCTAGTTTATTAAGCACATTTAAGCACTTTTTTTGTTCAATGAAACGCGCGTTCAACGCTTGTTTTTTAACCTCCATGGCGGTGTGATTTTTTTTTTTCCTTTTTTTCTCTATCTTTTTTTCTTAAAACTTTAAAACTTCCCGCCGGTTCCGCCCCCCTGCGACGCGGACGCTCGCATGGGACGGAAACCGTAAGACGTCAGCGGCCGGAGGACACAGCGGGGATCGCGGACAAGGTAAGACCTACTCTGTATTCCCGAGTGTGGCTCGGGGTTACCACTTTGTTAACCCCGAGCCACACTCAGGCATACCAATGGATACGTGCTGAAATCCGCCCCAAAGAAGCTCCTGTACTATTTCGTCTGAAATATGCCCAGTTGGGAACCATGCCCATGGGAGTTAATAGGATTTGACTGCTTGAGCGTTTTTTCGATCAGCGCTGAAAAACGCCCAGGTATGAACCCAGCCTTATAATTATTTGTTAATTACAAACTTAATTTGGTGAATTAGAACCATTGCATTGACAAATGCCTAATACAGTTGTGTTCAAAAGTTTGCATACTCAGAAATCATAACATTTTGGTATTGATATTGAAAATATGACTGATCATGCCAAAAAACTGTCTTTTATTTAAGTGTAGTGTTCATATGAAGCCATTTATTATTACATAGTTGTTTGATGCTCCTTTTTAAATCATAATGATAACAGAAATTACTCAAATGGCTCTGATCAAAAGTTTACATACCCTGGAATGCTTGGCCTTGTTAAAGACACAAAAGGTGACACACACACATTAAAATTTGCTAAAGGTTAATTTCCCACATCTGTGGCTTTTTAAATTGCAATTAGTGTCTGTGTATAAAGAAATAAAAGAAAAGTGTTTTGCCTGCTCACTCATGTTTTCTTTACAAATGGTACATTTATTACCCATTCTCCAAGGGTATGCAAGCTTTTGAGCACAACTGTATCTAGAAATCTTTAATATGCGCACTTGTTTAATAATCATACAACACTGACGTATGTAACAAAACCTACACATATTTAGACTCCCTGTAACATGGGATAAATAGGAGAAAACAAATTAGTGAAAATATTTGGAATAGTATTAGCTATACAAAATATGTTACACATTAACCTCCCTGGCGGTAATTCCGAGTGTGTCTTGGGGTTCATTTTCATTACCAAAAGCGGTAACCCCGAGCCACACTTGGGATTACACTGTAGCGTCTTACCTTGTCCAACATCCTCGCTGTGTCCTCTGGCCGATGCCGGCATCTGTCTTCCCTGTTCTGTCACTTGCGAGCGTCCGCGTAACGGGGGGCGGAACCAGCGGCAGATTTGAAAGTAAAAAAAACAAAAAGGGAAAAATAAATGCTTAACAAATATCAATTCTGCTTAATAAAATCAATTCTGCTTAATAAAAGAGAACTATGGCCAAACCTTTTTTGACGTTAGTTCTCTTTTGGGTGTCAGGAGGGCCCAAAACACAGCTGCGCTGCAGCCGCGAAGGATCCCGACAATATATCTAGATGCAGAGCCAGCTGTGCACATCCCCTCCCGTCTGTCCCTCCAATGAGCACTGGAGGAATAAGGGTTAAGGAAGATATTTGGTTATTAAATCAAGTTGGTTTCTATTCTGATCCAACAAACAAAAACAACATACAGGTTTTAATTCACATTTTTTTCCACTCAAAAAGATCTAATGTATCTTATTCTTATTCAGACAGCTGATATGGGCATTACAGAAAATGCTACAGAGGGGGACACACGGATTGAACTTTGGTTCCGCCGTCAGAAATCAAGGGAAACATTACTCCTGCAAGCTGAAACCACTAGTGTGAAAGAATCATGGACCAATGAGATCACAAAACATTTGTGGGATCAAGGAGGATTGAGCAAAGGTAAGTTAAACCTACCTGTTCCTTATGTAAGTGTAGGTACCGAGTAAGCAGTTTTGTATATTATCCAAACCATAGACTTCTTTTATCTGTTGAAGGTGGCAGTCTTAAAGGTGTGCAAAAAATATATCAGAACTCTCTGTCTCCAATTAAACCTCTACATCTTGTAGGAGGCCGCCTTTGATGGATAAAAGTGAGAGAGATCTTGTGCCATCAAGTTACCACTTCAAGTTACATAAATCCATACTTCATTACATTTGTTAGGTACAATAACCAATATTGGAATGTACAATGTGTTGCACTGTTGGCTGCACAACTGCACACAACTATAGGGGTACCCTCTCCTATCCATGTAAACTGCTGAGAGCATTTGCATTGGGCTAGGAGACATCTGATGTGGACTGTCCATGACTAGGATAATATCCATTCCAGTGACTGCTAGTTCCAAATGCTAAACTACATTGGTAAACTTAAAGCTGAATTCTAGGCAGATTTAAACGGCACAAAATATTGCAGCTCTGTAATCATTAATGCATCATTAAATGTATTTAACAAATGCAAGCAGTGTAAGTACATAAGTCTCTTGCAGTGCCTATACAGCCGAGTGTTAAAGGAAGGAGCAGCACAAGAAACAAATCAGTTCATGTGCTGGCATGGAGCATGCTGATGGGTAGGGCAGAGTGATAGAGGGATGAGCTTGTGACTGTGCTGCTCCTCCTTTCCATATCCAGTAACAGACTGGAGTAGGTCCAGGGCAACCTGGGCTCAGAGAAAATGGGTTGAATGATGCTAGCCATTAGACTAAGGACATCCAGTGGTAGAATAAGTGTACTGTGGAAGATATCTCCAGACTGAAGGTGAATTATGCAGCAAAAGCTGGTTTTGTTATTTAATCTTGGGCTATTCATTTGTATCGTGTTATTTTTGGCTGAGCACAGCATTCACTAGTCAATCTTGAGAAGTTGTACAATGTATTGATGTTTGCACAGTGAAAGGATGGGTAAATGCTGGGGACATTATCATGCTAAATGGGGTACACACCTATTTATAATATAAAATGTACCTAATCTGTCACTGTACATAAAATATACCGTATGTGAATTTAGGATTATTACTAGTAAGTTAAGGATGCTTGCATTGTGTATGTTATTATGTTCCTGGTATGCAGAAAAACTGATGTACTGAAATTCTTGCACTGGTCGCTGGTAATGGTATGCCTTTCTGTTTTAAATGGGATCATCTGGAATGTCAAATATCTCCCCTTAGACAGTTGTTACTGGAACAACCTTCCTTCCAATGGAAGGATTCCCCTCATCTCCTGCGCCAGTGACAACTGTCAACTATAAATCACACAAAGTAATTGGATGGGGGTCTTTTGAAATGGCACTCATTTCACGTTTAATTCCATAAAAATGTTTTTTCTTCACATTTATTGATGTACAAATAAATACTAAAATACATAAAAGCATGACTATGTCCCATCAATTCCCCCTAGACTACAACAATTTGACACAGTAGAGACTTAAATTACAACTTTTATGTTCAGTATGCAGCTTTTTTTGTACTCACTGTGGGACATCCATGGTCAGTGGAAAATCCTTGGTGCCAAGGGGAAAACAAATATACCCCTTACAAACCAAGCCTGGCGGGGCCACCTGGAGAGTACAAACAAGGCTGCATACTGAACATAAAAGTTGTCATTTAAGCCTCTACTGTGTTAAATTATTTGTTTCATGTTTCTTTTAAAAATGTTTAAACATGATTTGTCCCAGCCAGATCTAATTACCTTGAATTCTCTGAAGAAGCACTCTGTGAAATGCGTTGGAAAGACTGCATGTTATTGGAAAGAATGAATCATGTTATTTATGCCTTGTACATATTTATATGTGAGGTTGTGCAAATCTATGAGGAAGTTGGTTAATCTAATGTAGTGGATGCAGTAGTTATAGTCTGGGGGGAATTGATAGGAGTGGGTTTATGTTTTTATGTATTTTGGTATTTATGTGTAAATCAATAAATGTTAAGAAAAAACATTTTTATGCAACTAAGCGTGAAATGAGTTCCTTTTCGAGAAAGCAACCCAATTGCTTTGTGTGATTTATAGTATACATGTTAGTGGGCGTGGCACTGCGATTTGACCATCTTGACTAACCTTGGTGGACAATATACTGTATATGGTCTCTGTGACAACTGTCAGACGTTCCTTCTGTCCCAGTGACAGGAGTTTCATGTACAAATACAAATGGTGAATCTCCCCAGCAGAGACCGCAATAAAAACCTGATGGAGCTTCTAACCCCTAAAAAAGTTTTGACCTTTGATATACTTTGGTCTTCTCAATTACTTTTTACATATACATGTAAGATAGATCAACCTGATGTAAATGATCTTATCAATGTGTGTTTATGTGTTAAAAACCTATGTTTCTATATACAGTATCGTTTATCAGAATATACAGTATATGTAAATGAGAGCAGCTATGTTAGATCATTACATAGTCCCATGGCTAGCCACCACACTCTGTAAGGTAAATGCCTGGATGCTCCTCCCAAAAGTATCCATACAAATCTAAAGTAGGTATAGAGGCACTCATGGGTCCTGCAGCAGAGATAAGTCAGTGCCACACAGTAGTTTTGCTTTACTGTTTCTCACAATGTAAGTCTATGAGTCGGCCATATCATTGTTGTGCTCTGAGTAGAGGCCCAATAGCGAGATGTGATGTTACACATGTACAGTAGGGATCCATCAACGAATGCAGAGCTAGTGCTGGACTTTTCCTATTAAACAGATCAGCATTCTCTGCACACACTACAGTAAAGGTATCTTGCATTAGATCTATTTTGCAATAATAATAATAATAATTGTATACAAATAATAAAAATATTTTGAAATCGAATGTTCTTTTTAAAAAAAGGATCACATACATTATATATATTGATATCAGATTTTAACTATGCTTTAATGTTGTTATACACAAAGTAATGTGTGCTAATTTAAAGTGTATCTATCAGTAAAAAAAATGACACCACATATTCATGTGCATGTAAGTAATGTTTGCATAGACAAAGATGACAAGGTCTGTGACTACCAGGTGCATTATGGGTATTTGACATGATGAGAGTTTGCAGAGTGCCTCATGTTTTTATTTACACACACCTTCTCAGTGAGATAAACAGATCAGCAGGCGACACATTTTTTTTGCTTGAATGATGAGAAAATATGACCGACTCCATGGATATACATACATCTGACTAAGACTATATGTGAACATTTTTTTAAACTTTGACACACTTTGATTACTTACATTTTGCTGGTCTTTTTCATATGTCAAAAAAGCCTTTAAAAGCTTTTTTAAATGTATGTGAATTATTAGTAATTTCATCAGTTCCCACCAGGTGGCAGAACTCTAGTTGTTACTTCAAATTCTTAGTATATGCATAACAATGTGCTGCTTTTTGGGTGATAAATGTCACTGTGCATACTTGCTGACCATGCAGATGCTTTTCAGCAGTAAACAGAAGTATTTATTACATTTGCTCATTTAAGAAAGCAGCAGATCCTATAAAATGAGGTAACTGTAATCTTCTATAATACATAAAGTCCAGGTTGCAGTTTTCTCCTCTAGATAAGCAGAGAGCAGTACAAGGTGGATAGTAGATTAAAGGCCTCTGCAGACATCTGAATTTAAGGAAAATGCTTTAACATACCTTTTAACTGCACCTGAAGTGCATGTAATGTTCTGCACCATTCTTTTCGTGTTTAAGGGCTCGTGTACAAAGGGGTTGCAGTCAAATGCTGACTTTTGTATTTAGACATTTTGCTGCTCAAATGTATGCTTTTGAAGACAAAGGACTCTTTTTGTCCTGCTTTGCCTGCAATGCAAATGCTTCTCAAATAGCACATACTGCATTCAGAGCAATGAAACTCAAAGCAGGTCAAACGCAGTCTCAGAACTGTCTTCCATGCTGTACCATTGATGGAATCTACATTGTGGTAAACAATGCATGTGTACACAAATCCTTAGTATGGTGCACTTTAAAAAAAATTTGCATCTTGCTTGCTGCTTCCAGTTTCCCGTTGGGCCATTCTCACAGGAACGTTGCTACTGCTTGTAAAATGCCTGTAAAATGCTATACATTCATTTAATGCATGGAACTGTATGCCAAAAACTACACCCCCCCCCACTCCACCACAAAATGCATACAGAAAATGAATGTTCCCACGGTGCACATTTGAACACCCATATTACAACATATGTGTTTACAATTCCAGAAGAGTAAATTAGCTTTCACTGGATGTTCTTAAAGGAAACCTGTGAGAAAATAGAGTCTGTCCTAGCTGTCTTCTCTTTCTGATAATACTAGCTATGGCTGGCTGTCATTTTAATCCAATGGCTTTAATATCATCACAGACATAGACCAGGATCAAGCATGCAGACCAGCAGTTCTGATTTTGTTCTGACTTTCTAAACTTCATGCTTGTTTCAGGACAGCGATTTAGGAAGTATTGAAGCCAGAGACAACCAGGTGTCTAGTATTGGTAAAACAGGTCTACAATGGCAGCCCAATGGCAGTCTTTGCAATGAAGGGATGCCCCCACTTTCCAAAGTGGGGGGGACATCTGTTTGAATTTGCAGACACCTGGACCAAAAGCATCTCCATGGGTAAAACACGTGGTGTCAAGCTAGAGTTTCAATCTCTACCCCTGCCCATGTCTCTGCACAGGCTAACAGACCTCCACGCTGCTCTGAAAGACCTCCTAAGTCAAAGAGCTATTACCATTGTTCCAGAAGCAGAAATGGATCTAAAGGCACTCAATTTCTTCATTTAGGTTCAACCATCAGGGATACTTTCTAGCCACTGTGGACATCAAAATCAAAAAGGATGCATACTTGCATGTCCCCGTCTATCCAGCACATCAATGCTACCTGTAATTTGGTGAGGGCACACAACATTACTAGTTTGTAGCATTTGCATTTGGTCTGTCTTCCATGCTGTGAGTATTCACCAAGGTACTAGGTCCAGTGTTAGCCTTCCTGTGTTTTCAGTGCATACCCATAGTAGGATGCCTAGAGGACATCCTGAGACTTTGTCAGTCAATGTACGACGGACTGTTCACACTCTATAAAGGTTCAGTTGGATCCTGAACCTTTAGAAGTCAGTGCTGGGACTGACTCATTGCTTGGAGTATTTGGGTCTCATTCTGGATGCTGCTCAGTTCAGAGTTCTACAAGACAAACTCCAAACTCTCTGATCCTAGATTCGGACTCTACAGACTAGAAGCCATCCAACTCTCTGCTTTTGCATTTTCAGTTCTGGGCTTTATGGCAGCCTCATCTGAGGCAGTCCCATTTGCCAAATTCTGCTGTGGAAAGAGAAGCAGAAAAGATTCTATCTTGTCCCAGACTTCACGTTCCATCCTTGTCTGCTATTCACATTCCAGGTTAGGAAATGTGACAGGCAGACTTCCTCAGCCAACAGCACCTGGAATGGTCTCTTCACCCAGATGTGTTCCAGGACCTCTGTTACAGGTAGGGGACACCCGATGTGGACCCCATGGTCTCAAAATTCAATAACAACCTGAGCAAGTCACTCATATAGTCCCACCTGTACAACCTCCAGCTACTCCCTGGCATCTCAGCCTGATTCTGTTAGCTCTTTATAAACTGCTCTTTGAACCTATTAAGGATATTCCACTGTGAGCTCTCACTTACTAGGTTGCCCTCCTACCTGCTATTACCTCCGTGAGGCACATTTCTGAGTTAGTAGTCCTGTCTTGTAAAGAACCTTTCTTTTTCTATACAAAGACAAAGTTGTCTTGAGGTCCAGAGCCGCCTCCTCACCTTAACCAGGACATTGTATTTCTGTCTCTCTATCCAACCCCAGTGCATTCTAAGGAGCTCATTCTTCACTGCTTGGATGTGGTGAGAGCTGTTCATGTTTATCTTACAGCCACATCTTCCTTCAGGAAGACTTACTCTCTTTTTGTCGTTCCTTAGGGTCCACTAAAGGAGCAACATGCTTCTCGCTCCACCATTTCTTGGTGGCTCTGATACATCATCATATAGGCATATAGGCCTAAGGATAAGTTTCCACCTTTTCCCATAAAAGGCACACTCTACTTTATCAGTATGTGCTTCTTGTGCCTTTCGGCATCAGGCATCTGTTTCTTAGATTTGCAAACCTTTTTTTCATTCATTCATACGTCTCTAAATTTTACCAGATGGATGTTCAAGCCTCAACTGATGCAAGCTTTGGGCTTAAAGTCCTACAGGCAGCTCTTTGAGTAGCAGGCTAGCCCCAGTTTTTACACTGTTTTTCTGTGGGCTTGTTAGCATTTTTCTTGGCTGTGTTGCTCTGAGTTTGGACATCCCATTCTTCCCTGATTTACCTCTGATGTATGCCGCTTAATGATTGATAAAGAAAACAGGAATTTTGTACTTATTGTAAATAACATTTCTTGGAGTTCATAAAGGGAAACAGGTCCCACCCCCAAGTGTTTGTGATTGACTCCTAATACAAAACGGTAGCATAATGGGAGTGGGAGGGGTATACTAGGCTGGCTAAGGGTGTTTTGCTTGCAGGCAGCAGTATAACCCAGTTGTCTCTGATTTACTTCTGATGCCATGTCCCTTAATGAACTCAATTTTATGATAAGTCCAAAAATCCTGTTGTACATCTGCCATTTCTGTGATGGCTTTTATGTACACCAGGCTTAGACAACAGACCTTTGTTGCCTTGCTTGTAGCTGACATGCACAAGTGTGGTTTTGCACTTATCCTGCTTCTCTGCATGTCACAGCTTTGTAGGTCTAGCACCCTACTTTGCCCGCCTTACGGTAAACTTTAGTGATGCTGCCCTCTGCTGGTAAATCTGAGAAAAATTGTTCACCTAAAGTGTATTTCCACTTTTATATTTGTTAAATGTTCCTATTCACATAGCATTACCCCCAAAAAAATATTTACCAAATGACTGCTTACACCAAATGACTGCTTACATTATTACTTGTGTTTTACATACTTAATGATCCTACCTAGTTTCCCCTTGTAATATAATGTTATTTAATGTTAAGGAGGGGGCTGGGAAATTATGGTTTACCATAATTAACCCTGTCTGCACTGTGCTGGTAGATCTCATTATCAGTGGTAAACTAGATATGCACACTGTCTGTCCTAACAAAGTGTTAAAGACCTCAAGGCTTGGGTGGTACACTGTAGGTTATTTGCACGTTCCCTCAGTATGTTCTTTTATATATTTTCTGAAAGCCAAGACCCTGTAGAATAAAATGGTGGCAGTTGCAAATTTTTATGTTGCACGATATTAGCGCAACTCCTTATCAAACCCCAAAATTTTATGAAAAATGTACTTAAATGCCCCAAAACACAATAAAATACACATTTCTTTAATAGAATATAAAGGATGAGGTTACAATGAGTAAATAGATACCCAACATGCCCTGGTTAAAAATTGTGTGCGTCCGTGAAACGGCGACAGAATCGCTTCTACTGTAAAGCAGACTGTCGGCTTTACAAGTTTAAACAGAGTCCCGGCGGTAAAAGCCTTTAACCTCTTCACCCCTTTAAGCCCCGATGCTGGCGACGTACACTGTTCATCGTCAGTCGTGAAGGGGCTAAAGCTGAGCTTCACGATAAGCAAATATTGTCTAAATACAAAAGCTATGTGCATTCGTACATGAATCTTGGTGTGTCTTGTGTATTTCTTCCCGATCTGTGCTGTAATGCAGCGTGAAATTTTTCATTTGTGCGTAAGCTTCCTATAATAAAGGCCTGTCACTGCTGCTCTGTCCTTCTGCAGGGTGACTGGCCTTGTATGTGTACCCTCATGTAGTTTCCTGCAGGCAGTCTGTAGTGGATGGGGTTTGCTGGGTCCCTCCCACAGCTTCACTCGTTGCACAGGCTATGTGCAGCACAATATATCCAAATATTACACAAAGTGTATTTATATCCTTTGTAGCTATGGATTTAAATTGGAGGTCAACTTTAATACCCAGTCTCCCCAGTTTGATGAGTGATAACAAACCTCCATTTAAATCAGCGTATCTTCTTCAGTTCCAGTTCAATGTAATTATGCATGTGTAGCAATTGTGATATCTCAGCACTTGTGGGACTTTAGTTTATAAAGAATGCCTAGGAAGCTAAGTAAACCTAGGAGTTGTACTTTTGAAGACACAAACCAAAGCAGCCCACAGAGCAAGGTCAGAAAAAATATAAACTCATGCATTGTGAAAAAATAACATACGCTAAAAGAAAGTCCTCAAATTGTTTTTTGTTTTTTTTATTGTATGCATTGGGGACCGCTTTCCAAATACAGGAAAATGGCTTAATGCCCACCTCTGTGGCAAATATTCTCATTTTGGATAACATCAGGCTCTGACATTTTTATTACAGTATATGAGGCTGTTCAGGGTATTTTCTTTCACTTCCCATCCCAGTGACACCCTAACAAACAATGTATTTCAGGGACAGGAAGTGGGGGGAAATGTCTTCAGACTGGCTAGATTAGGGCTTTGCAACAAAATGAAATAAGATTTAGCTTACCCTGAGAGCTGAGTTGTTCCTCCTTTTCTCATGATTGTTCCTTAGAACAACAATTTGCCCTTCAGATGCCATTCCTGGAAGCTCTTCCTTTTTAATATGTATCTCAGTCTTTATTATTTTTTCATTTTACATTTGCTTTATCTTCTAACTGGTCGTTAAAATCCAGAGCTCAATAACTTCTTATTTCTTTTATATTCAGAGCACCGCACACAGGATACCTCGACAATTGGTTCCAGTCATCGCTCTTTTCTTGACATTAAAGCTGGATTCAATGCAATAAGTGAACGGACTGTTAGCGCCCTCTTGACTGCAAGAGGTAAGTCAAGAAAAGATACACAGATGACCCTCAATTAACGTCAGGGTTAGGTTCCTGAAGGAATGGTTGCAAAAAGAAACCCAGTATATAATGTAAGTCAATGGAAAGTGAGAGAGTTAGGTTCCAGTCCTCTCTCAAAAATGACATAAGTGACATAATACATTATATTTAAAGCTTTGAAATGAATGTTATAAATGCTTAACAGTTTTATACACAGTATTAAATAACCACACAACATAGTATGTATCATCAAACTAAGTGTAATGATCAAAAAAAGGAGAGAGAGAGCGAGGAGAGACATCCATTGAAGAACCTCCATATGTCCAAGCAGGGCCGGCCCTAGGCCTTTAGGCGCCCTGTGCGAGAAAGCTTTCCAGCGCCCCTCGGTGACCACACTCCTCAGTGGCCACACCCTTTAGTGGCTACACCCCCCGTAACCACACCCATTTCCCCCAATATCCGCACCATTTAAAGACTCCTATTTTGTTAAGCTGCAAAGAAACATATTAAAAAGTATGATAAAAATAAAACTTTTATTCAAAGGTATTAAACTTGTAGGCACAATATAAGTATTCTTATCAAATAAAACAACAGAAGTTAAACAATAAATGTCAAACTACAATAGAGTCTATAAAAATAAAGTGTCAGGTTGTCATGCCGACCCCTTTTTTCAAGTCAGTATATCTAGAAAAGTAAAAATAGAAAACAGAACACAAAACCCAGACTACATGTAAATTAATGAATTATTATATGTCCGATTATACAAAAAATTTATTCAGGCATATAATAAATCGTTTGAGAATGTTGGCCACCGGCGTGTTCTGTGAATGCGTGACACCATCTTGGAGGCAGGGAGCATGACGTTACATGACGCCATGCATGCGTGGCGTCAGGTGACGTCACACACCGATATTGGCCCCACCATCTTGGTGTATACCTAGATATACACCAAGATGGCGGCGCCCAACACGTGCAATGTTATATGACGTCATGTGCCCTGCCTCCAGAACACACCAATGACTGAATCCAAAATAGCATATACATTTGTTTTGTTTGATGAAACAAATGAAAATTTTTAGTTTTCGCTCATTTCATCTGAAATGAATTTTTAGTCTTCGCACTTGTCTAATAATATGTGTGTGTGGTTGGGGGGGAGGGGGGTGCAGTTTTCACTTTTTAAAAATAGCTTTTTAAATTTTTTTCATAATTTTTATAGAGCTGTGTCGATCGCACGGTGCTCTTGTTGCCATGGCGCCCTGTGCGGCCGCACAGCTCGCACACCCCTAAGGCCAGCCCTGTGTCCAAGGGTACCCCTGTGCCCCCAGCATGCCTCTATGTGTCTGTGCACAGTATCTTCATGTGTATCCCTGTGCCACAAGCGCATCTCCAAGTGTGCCCCTGTGCCCCCAGCGCGGCTCTAAGCACCTCCATATCTCCAAGTGCACCTCTGTGTGCCTCCAAGTCTGTAAGTGTGCACAGTTATCTCTCTGAGAAGAGCCCCTTCCCGAGCCATCAGAGACTCTGTACTGTAGCCACGTAGAGTTGTAGAGAGATCGCCTGCGTATCCTTCCGTGGCTGAGGTCTGCGGAGGAAGGATATGCTAGACGCCACTGACTCTGTAGTGGTTTCAATGGCGGTCATATGACTACCCAAAAAGGGTGCTATTTTGAAATGGCACAAATGGGACTGGCGCAAACCTAGGGCTACATGTAAAATATAAATACCTTTTAAACTGCCAGAAGTCCATTGAGCTCATAACTTCTTGTACACTCTGCCTGCGCAGCATTGGAATCCCAGGCAGAGTTATCAGGCCTTCCTGGGTCTCTTCTGTGGATTACAGAACACTTCCCCCTATATTATAGGCATGAGGAGAGAGAAGTTCAGTATTCCAAATTATGGAGCTCCTGTACAGATACAGTAAAAAAGATTTTATTGCATATACGGTATGTAATTGTGATTATATGGTATGTAAGATAAATCGCGCCTATCTCTTATAGCCTTTTTACATTTCTTCCTGGTGGAATACCTGGTGATCCTTTCAATGCCCTTTCCCTATTTTTCATTTTGACGATCCAAAGCACAGAAGCAGATTCATGCTGGCGTGGTCAGTTTGTGGATCGCTGCTTCCTCCTCTGGGACACAGGATGCTGTGCTGTCGCATGGCGTGCCTGTTTCTCAAGTGTTTAGATTAGCAGCCATGCTCCCCACTCAGCCCTACTTTCTTGATGGTCAGTGGCTCCCAACAGAGGCCTTGCTGTTGAGACAACAGCTGGAACACAGCGTTAACCACTTAGAACACAGCGTCTACTGCGGGGGAACGTGCTTCCTTGCTGTGCATGACAAAATAACATAGCCACCCTCTTTGGAATGTGACACACCCCTCGAAGGAGGATAATACAGGTTTTGCAGTCACATGACCTCAAAATAAAACTAAGAAAAATGTAGGAAAGAGTGCTATTTTACAAAAATAAATGTGCTCATGGTATAGGAACAATATGTACTGTATTACCATTTATTTAACGCTCATTCACAGATACTTCAATGTAATAATTTTCTTTTCTAGGATGCCGCACTAGAGCATCTGTACCTCTTACAGCCTGTGATCACAGCTCTTCCCCACCATCTTCTCTTGCACTCACATCAGGACCAAGCCCTCGAAGGCTGCGCTCACCTGGAGGAGTCTCTCTTCCTGAAAAAATCAATGAAGAAGGAGGTGACTCTTTCACAGGCAAGAAATGCTTTAGATTAGTTATACCATCTGCTGCTAACATATTGATTGCTATCTTCTGCAACATCAGGCTTGTTCAGACTGCGGTAACACATTTTTTGTCTCAACTGAAAACTGATTTGTTCAGTTATAGTCAGTGGCGGACCTAATAACCAAAGGGCCCTGGTGCAAGATTTAATCTTGGGCCCCCCTCCCAAGACGGGGGGGGGGAAGTTGTGTAACATTGTACTTTAGATATGCTTTAGAGCATTTGATTAAAACAAAACATCAGCCACTAAAAAGAAATTCCCTTCTACCCCATATCATAAACAAACCACTGCCTGCTCTTAACAAAAAGACAGTTAACACCCAGCAATACCTACTTCACTGTACCATGACAGCAAGCGGTCAGGTCCTCTTCTCCCCACAGTGGCCATATAACATTCTGGTGATATGGTTGCTGGTCCCACACCTATTACATTACAGATGTGATGACATCTGTGAAGAGGGACAGTAACAAGATCGGTCAAAGACTGGCATGATGAAACAGCTTCTGCAAATCGTTCTTCACAACCCCAAAGAATTGCAGGATATGGTATAACTGCATGTTAGCCCATCTCTTTGGAAAAATGACTTCTTTAAAATAATCAGTTCTTGGATGGTTGGGGGCAATTTTATTTTATTTTTTTTTTGGCCAGAGTGCTTCAGTGTAAATATTGAAGATTAATGATCCCTTTATATGCATTCTTTAGACACGTTGGGTGTAAGGCAATAGAATGAACAATATTGTACTGCATCAAGTAGGGATGCACAGATACTTTTCGAGTACCAGTGCACATACTTGGCATTTTCATGAGAACTACCAGGGTTGCAGCGGTTGCAGCTGGGACCTGGCTCTGGTGCTCCACCACTGTCCTGAAATCATTAGTCTGTATTGTTTTAGAAAAACTGTCACATGACAATAAACAAAAATGTATCAGTACTCGTACTTGTAAGTACTCGGCAAGTACCAGTACTCGTACTCGCAAAACTGGTATCTGTGCATCACTTTATTTATATTTATAAAAACTAAATCGTACATTAAAACAGAGATGTACAAATCCCAGGAGCTCCGTGTGCTCCTTACAAATGACAGCGGCCTCCTAATTTTTGAATTTTTCTCTAGTCTAGTCTTGGAGCTCAAAAGTATCGGTACATGTACTCATACTTGTACCGAGTACTGTACTTGGTATCTGTGCAACCCTAGCATCAAGGATGGATTTGCTCAGTAGAGCTATGCAAATTCTGTATTTCAACCCATTTAGGGCCAGTGTGAATGGGCTTTGGTCTTATGCTGATGAGCAAATGGAGCTTGCTTTCAGGTGCATTTTACTTTGAGATACCTCTAAAATCATTCAGACTTTATTGACAGGTGCAGTTGACCTCCTTCTGACCTACAGTTGACCTCCTATGTTGCACCATCCTGCTTCAAAATGCTTTTGCATTTCCATTGGATTGTATGGGGGAGTTGTGAAAAAAGTTCGAGCCCGGAACGCAATGGATCGAATTACACGCAAGGACAGGAGCTTTGTGTAATTGCGCGCAGCAGCCTCTTCTCCCCTATGGGAGGACGTGGCCTTACGCTGTCATACGCACACCCGAACTGCACCTAAGTGCAGGTCTGGGTGTCCGCACTTCGACACAGACAGCAATCACACGCAGCACCTCTCCCTCCCGGGATTGGCCGTTTATGGACGTGCACGCCACGCTATGAGCTCCGTGTGAATGAGGCCTTAAAAGAAAAGAGACACTCTCATCTTTTGCTCTTGTGACGATTGTCACCAGGAGAGATAGTGAAGGGAAACCTACAATTTTACAGCTGTCACCAGAACTGGAGGTGAGGAAAAATCTCCACGCAGGGACTCCTTGTCTGGTTACAAGTTTCACTATAGGATTTCCTCTTACTTCCTGTGTTTATGGGATAGAAAGTTAAGGGAGATCTCCTTTTATATATATTATGAAGCAAAACATGTACAGTTTCATAAAAAAGGGTAAACGTGCATAATTTGGGGCTCCTAACCAGAACCATTAAACGGAAAAATTTTATTATTATTGCTTAATGTTAGCCATAGTAATTAAAAAAGGTTCCTCCTGCAGAATAGTTAAAGGGAGATTTTGATTGGGAAAAAGTGTGCAAACTACAGAGCCATTTTATAGCTGGTAGAACAGAAAACGTTAGGCATACAATGCAATGATTCAGAAAAAGTATCTAATTAGGTGGTGTGGAAAAACAGTAGGCGTCCTGTGAAATGGCAGTGGACTTGAGATTTAGACTCGTGACTGAGAACCACTGGTTCATAACATACATTTTTTGTTGTAAATAATGTTTAAAAGCGAATTATTTGCTACATTCTGTTTTATGTGATTTATGTTTGGTGTTTTAGGTGGACCAGTGTGCCTCAAATCATTCTCACCCATTATGGAAGGAGAAAAGCCAAAGGTAAAATTGTAATCACTGACTTTTCATTGATTTTTACATCTTCAAGGTCAGAGCATATCATTTACAACTCTCCATGTGGCCTTCTTTTTTAGGATTTAACCATTGAAGCCCTCTTCCCTTCCACCTCTGTATAAAGAAAAATTATTTCCAAAGCTCATAAAAAAAAGAACATAAATCGCCTGCACAGTGCCATAACCACTGATCAAGAGGACTACAAACTAAGCATGTCAATGACCTCAGCAGATGACAGTGCCAAGCATATCATTCATTTACACAATGCACCAAATACAATGCTGTCAGAAGCTCAAAAAGTGTCACTTCCTTCTTGGTGAATGACATTATGCTAAAAACTAAGACCACTAACAAAGCTTTTGATGATTATAAAATGATGACCTGTCAAACTTGAGGAGAACTGGCTTAGGATAGAGGACCAACAGTATTTCTCTATAAGCCAGTGGCTTTTTCATCTCTGTTACCTTAAGGTGCAAACTAAGTGCAAACATCTCATTTTTCAAACTCTAATGCCAAATTTCAGTACAAAGAAATTTCCAAGAGATTTGGGAACCATCATGCTGCAGAAATAAATGTTACAGTGTGAGTATTCTTAATCACAATAATTCTAAGAATCGTCAATGGAATGGCTAAGAAATATGCTTTCTTTCTCTTACACTAAGGGACACAGGAAGTCTATCAGGAATAGGATACTGGCAAACAAAAGAAAACTGTTGGATAACCCAAAATAACCCCTCCTACTACCAGCATGCCTCAGTTATTTTGCTAGTGTTCTAGGGAGATAAACATCTTCTCTTTAGCTATCCTGTTTGAAAAACTAACCTATTTAAGCTAGCAATTCTTCAATTGCAGCTAAGCCAAACAGTAATCCTCACCTTGGCTGGCTTTTGGAGTGCGGCATCCAGACTGCGGTTTGTGGGAATAGCCTGGAAGTGACCAGGCACTGGGTTGCATGTAGTACACTTTCCAGACTCCACTGTAAAAAGTTAACCACAAAACATTTTCCAGGTCCAGAGCTGCTGGCATTGCCTAAGTGCTTGCCCTTTCTCTTTGTGAGCAGGCCAGCCAGGTCGAGCACCAGGACCTTCCTCAAGTACATAGGTTGCCGGTCACCTTTAAAAATTCTCTTTTCCACTACAGAAGGGGATAACTCTGTGGGACATGAGAGCTGATGTCATCCGCTGGGCGGAGTGATGTATGGGAACATGCCATCCTCTCTATGAAGTTGTGCCCCCACTTGTTGGGGGTTGCTTTTTAGCCTTTGCTGACACTTAAACTGCTTGTATCTCAGATGCTTGGGTGCAGGAGGTGGTATCCCTGGGCTACAAAATTTAAAAAGAAATTCTGTTCTCTTCCTCTGTTTCTTACCTCCAATGTTCCAGTGTCACCACTCAGATTAGCAGATCTCCATCAAATCTTGTAAGGTCTTCTGGACACAGCTTAGGCTAGACTGTTTGTTCCACAGGAGGAATTTTAGTCTCTCCATTCTTAGATGTGAACCCTCCAGCCAACAAGTTGTCCAACTCTGCTTCTATATTTGTTTTGGGCCTGATAGTCGCCTCCTTTGAGACAGTACCTAGTTGCCTAGTTTCACTGTAGACCTCTACAATGCAACATTCTGTCATTGGTGGCTCCATGGGATCAGTACACCCCAATCTATACTTTTGCTCTCCTGAGGCATCAGAGAATCAAGGTGGAGGGCATTCCAGTGATCCTCAATACTCCGGACTAGCCCAGGCAGATGTGGTATGTTGACCAGGTAAGGCTTCTGGCAGATGTACTCAGTAGGCACTGCAAATCATTGGGATCTTCTGTCTAATGGACCAATTTGCTACCCTGCTTCACAGTCATTGGCTTTAGCGGCATGGCTGTTAATGCCCGGATTTTGAGAGGCATCTCTGAGTCTGTGATTCCTTTAATGCTAAAAGCTAGGAAGACTACTTCCCACAAGGTCTATTTTTGGATATGGAAGGCATACTTCACTTGGTGTGAGACTCTGGATTTCGACCCTAGGAGTTTCTCCATGTGACAAATCCTTTCCTTCCTGCAGCTTGGTCTGGACTCTGTTTTGGCTCTCAGTACTATTAAAGGTCAGGCTTGTGCCATTTCAGTATTGTTTCAGAGACTATTGGCCTAACTGCTTGATTAAGGCCTTTGTACGCCTGTGACTCCGTGGGATCTGAATTTGGTTCTCTCTGCACTTCAGAGACCATGGTTTAAACCCATTACAGACATTTATCTCTCTACTCTTATTCAAGGTCGGTGTCCTTGTAGCCATCACCTCTGCGATGTGAATATCTGATCTGATGGTCTTCTCCTACATGAAATCTTTTCATGTTTTGCATAGGGACAAGGTGGAGTTGAGGCCCAGGACTTCCTTCTTGCCTAAAGTAGTTCCTGCCTTTCACCTCAACGAGGATATTGTTATTCTGTTGATTTGTTTGTCTCCAGTACAGCTCCAGTTCACCAAAATAAGTTTACATCCATTGTCTAGACGAAGGTTTGGGCTGTCTCTCATCCACTGCTTCTTTAAAAAAGACTGATTTCCTTTTTGTCATGCTGACTGCTGAAAGGGTCCACTAGCGTCTTGTTCCACCATCTCTAGGTGGTTCAGACAGTCTATCATTCACGTGTATGGTCTCAAGTATTGAGTTCCACCCTTTCCTGTCATGGTGCACGCTAATAGAAATGTGGAAGCTTCTTTTGGCATTTTGGCAGCAAGTAACTGTTTTACTGATTTGCAAGCTGTCATTTGTTTTTTTCTTTTGTTCTCTAAGTTCTACCAGGTGAATGTTGTGACCTCATCTCATGTCAACTTCGGGCCTAAGGTCCGTCATGTGGTTCTTTGAGCTGCAAGCAGTCCCCAGTACCCTTTGTTTTTCTTGGGCCTGTTAGCATTTGTTTGCTGTGTTGTCCACTCCTCAGTTGGACTGCTTTTGGATGTCCTGAAAGTGAAAGCCTTCCTGTGTCCCTCATTGGACAAGAAAGAAAATAAGATTTTTGTACTCAGTATAAAATCCTTTTCTTAGAGTCCATTGAGGAATATAGATCCCACCCCTCTGTGTTTATCATCATGCTCTCAGTACTGCTTTGCCGCAAAACTGAGGCATGCTAGTAGTAGACTGGGTTATTCTGGGCTGGCCTAGGGTTTGCAAGTGTCCGATCCTTCTGTAGGCAGCATTATAAGGTGAAAGACTTCCTGTGTCCCTTAAAGGACTCTATTAAAAGGATTTAATGGTGAGTACAAAAAGTCTATTTTCCACACACTATTTTTATGTATGCTTCGTTTAAAGGATGATTGGGGCAGGCTGAGTGTTTAATGCCACCTACTTTTTGTAGTACCCTTATTTAGATTTTGCATCAAGAAGTTCCAACAGTGATCACTTCCCCTTTTTATCTATTTTGGCCTATCAGAATAGGTTGTTGGCCTTAAGGACTTTATGCTTTTCCCAGAGATGTAACCAGTCCCTCCTTTAAATTGTTGGTAGTCATAAAATGAAGATTATTTGCAGAAGACCTTATATTATATGTTATATGTAATCATTCACCATTAATGAGCCCTCTTCCCCCACTAGAACCTGTTGATACACTATGCATTTGTATTATCCTTGTGGTCACGTACATTAAGTCAGAGATGTCATGGTGCATCTAACAGAATTTGTCTTGCTATGCTAAATTCTCAAAGTTAAAATGATTGTTATTTACCGTAATGTTTGTGATTTTCAGAAATGAGAGCACATATTTGAAAATAACAATTGTTATGGCAAATATCAAAGGAACTGGGCCTACTGCATCCTTTCTGTCCCTTCTTGGTAAATGTTTTCTGTAAAAGCGCTCTGTGCTGCTGCTCTTCCTTTCTGCCAGATGGGAGGACACCTCGGCAGCCCAGGGGGACAAAGTCACAAGCTGTCCAATCTCTAGCCAAGAAGCGCAAGGAACATGTTCAAAGTAGCAAACCTCATTGTCAGGAGGGTTACTGGTATGTTGCTAAGTGGTAGAGAGAGCATATTTGTTTTGTTTAAAACTAACTAAACTGGAATTCCCATAGAATTTAGGTAATTCTCTCTATGGTTTAAGTACTTGAATCTGTTATAAAACTTCCTGTCATCCCCTACACAGACATGTGAGCCAATCAGGCTACTTAATAGTGCTGTCAGTTTGGCAGATTGCTGACTGGAGTAAAGACCTCATGATTCTCATGCTAATCCTCATACACATGTTAATGTCCCATCAAGCATCTGGGAGGTGGGTTGGTGACAAAGTTGTATTGCTTAACTGTAATGAAGGAAAGGAAGTTAACCATCCTGGTTATGTTATCTGGCAGGGATGGCTACAAAGATTTTGTACACAAATTCATATATACTGTATGTATTGTGCATTTAACTGTTTAACATTAAATAGCATAGCTGCCAAGTAGAATGTAATTTACACACATCCTGGCCCAATCATTCTTTACCAAAAATACATGGATAGTGTGTATAGTGTATATGGTGGCCTGTTTTGTTATTGAAAATGCGCTGCATCTGAATTGGAATTTTTACTAGTGAGTATCAAACCTGAATTTACTTGTGCTTCCATTCATATGCCTCATAAATACTGAACTTTACCTAGGAGAAACATTTTATTGATCAAATATAGCATAACAACTGGCAGTGTAAGCTAAATATAATCTGGTATGTCAGCTTTGTAACACAGCTATTAATATGGTTCTTTTATTTATAACCATTGCCTGCTCTGAATACTTAACCGATATTATAAACAGTAACCCCCATAAACAGGATATACTAATGGTACTCGCTAGGAAAAGCCATATAAACATATCACATTGCATCAACTGGTTTGATTATTTTTAATACTATGGAATATATGGGGGGTGATGTCATATATAAAGTACTATGTGCACCTGCTGCAAATAGCATGATATACTAATACTAAACTGGATTAGAACAAGAAACTGGATGAGACCCATACAGCTTGGCCCTAATAAACATTTTAAAGCAATAAAGCTTGAATTGCTCCAAACTGCACACGCCAGATAATCACAGCTGTATGGGGAAAACAAATCAAGGGTTTTGATAGATTTGATCTGTAATATTGTTATTGGCTTCCAACATAGGTATAACTAGCGTTCTTTTTTCACTTAATCTCAACTATTGTGCCTTTTAGTAAGAATATATATATTCTTCCTTTATGGAAATTGCACTTTTTTGTTTTAATTAATGTCACTTATGGTATAATAAACATGCAGTAGTATATTTCTCTATGTTACGTATAGAGGGAGAAATAACGGAATTGTATCATGCTAGCGAATAGCTTTTCATACATATTTTTTCTCAGAGAGAGGCTAAAATGCCATATTGGGGTGATTGTTATTACCGGCTATCCAATAAAAAAACAGCAAGCTTGCAGGACTCTGTGGTCCCATTGTCATATCTTGTGAAAGACGAGCCATAGGAAAGGACTGACGCGTCTTGAAAGCTTTTATAAACAGTAGACTTTTAGGACACTGCTCATTTTTGTTAGTCTCATGTGACTTTGGGTCATGGAGTCCTGAGAGCTTGCTGTTTATGACATT